TTTCAAGTAAAACTATGTACCATGAAAAAAAAAACAGCTAGTTTAGCTCATGACCCAATTACTCAAGGGTTTTAATCCAAGACTAACACTGCTTTGGGATGCCACAGAAGAATTTTATATGTGCCTTCCTTTTGCCATGCAGAATATTAAAAGGACAGAGTCAAAGGTTTCAATTTAAAAAAAAAGAATAATTTTTACTGCTTCATCAAAGACATTCTTAAAAGAAAGAGACATATGTGGCAATGGAGACTACAACTCGAGTACAGTTTGGTTCCACTGCCCCGGTTCATGCTAAGGTGCTAGCAAGTTTTACCCACCATTGCTTTTGTACTATTAGTACAAATATCAACATAGTAGAAAAAAGTAGCATCTTATAATTAATACAATAATAGCTTTGGCCTTGCCAAACTCCCTGAAAAGATCCCATGAACCCCCCAAGGGGTCTATGGACCATACTTTGAAGATGGCTGCTTTAAGACACAGGCTTGAACAAGGAGTTCTCTCATATAGACTTTATGTTCTTAATTTTATCATCATTTCAGGCTCTTCCCCCAATTGAATAATAATAAATTTCATAGTTTAAAAGTAATTTCAGAAATAGATAATTAAATCTCTGCCAAACACTCGAATATGGGGGATCCCTGGGTGGTTCAGTGGTTTAGCACCTGCCTTTGGCCCAGGGCACAATCCTGGAGTCCCGGGATCAAGTCCCATGTCAGGCTCCTGGCATGGAGCCTGCTTCTCCCTCCTCCTGTGTCTCTGCCTCTCTCTCTCTGTCTATCATAAATAATAAATAAATAAATATTTTAAAAAAACGCTTGAATATGGCATACTACTTAATCCTCACGAAACATCTGTAAGTCAGCTACAATTTGTTCCATTTTTATACTTGATAAAAAAAAAACACAACACTGCAGTTCAGTGAGGCTAACCTATTTACCCCATAGCAAATAATTATCTGAGTCTACAACTAAATACAAGTCTGTCTGACTAAATAGTGCGTGTTCTATCTAATGTGGCATATCACCCAAGCTGAAGATATTTAATATGTATATATTTTTGAGAAGATAGGTATATTGATATATGCAAATCCTGATGTTCAAAACAGAAATATTTTTATACAACTCGTCACATAGATTCGGTCTGTCATGAATTGTCTGCGTTAATGATAAGTCACTTTAACACCTTTTGGACTCCGTTTCTTCCTACTGGCAATTTTAAAGCACTATCTCAGCCTCCAATTGATCCAAACTCCTCACCAACTCTGAGATTCACAGGCCAGCTAGGGTGCTCTGCCCATACTGAGGAGGGAACTGATCCTCAGAGGACTTCACAGACTTCTGAGCCTTTCCCTTTCCACCTGCTTTCCCCTCGGTATCATGCAATTAAGACCAAGTGTCTCACATAAGAAAGGCCGACAAAAGTACAGCCTCTACACAAGTGCTTTCCTTATAACTTTTTCTCCTTTTCCTCAAGGCCAAACTGCTAGGAAAATGAACTTGTGTTCTCTGCCCCCATGATCCCACCTTCTCTCCCACCTGCTATTATCTGGATCCTTCACACACATATACTATAAACTATAATTGCTTAGGTGGAGATCACTGAGACATTTGTAAAGAGTAGCAGTTGCTTCTCAGGCTGGCTGTCTTGATCATTCGACCACACTCTGCACTGGTCACTAGGCCCTTCCGCTCTTGGCTTCATCAGTCTTGCTCTCTCCTAGTTTCCTCCTCCCTCTCTGGTCTCTGTCTCTTTCATTTGCAGGCTCTTCTTCTTCCATCTGCCCCTACGTGAACATTGGTGCTCTGCCCTGTTCCATGCTAAGTCTCATCCTGCCTGCCTTCTTCTTCTCTCTGGCTTCAAGAAATACCTGAATGCTGATGATTCCTGATGGATCTTTCAGCTTAGATTTTCTCTCTTAGGAACATTCCTTCCAACAGCCTACAGAGTGCTGTGCTCAGATGTCCCACATTTGCCTCCAACTCAAGAAGTTTAAGACAGAATTCAGTACGTTCCTACCAGAACTGCTCCTCTCTCTATGTTGTTTCTCTTGGCAAATAGTACCATCTCCTACCTTCTTGCTCCTACCAGAAACCTCCATGTCCGTCTAGACTACTCCGGTTCTCCCTTACCCTCCATATCCAATCAACCACTAGGTCCTGTCTCTTCTATTTCCTAAATATCTCTAGAGCTGTCCCAACTTCCCAGTTGGCACTTCCATGGTATTATTTTTTGTTGTTGTTGTTGTTGCTGTTTTTTACTTCCATGGTCTTAATTGAGCCCTAACTTTTTCTCTGGAGATAACTTCCTCATTGCCATCTCCTTCCCATTTGTCTTCCATAAGAATAGCAGACATGGCCGGGGTCGGTGAAGGATCTCAAGATGGCTGGGCGAAAACTTGCTCTAAAAACCATCGACTGGGTAGCTTTTGGGGAGATCATACCCCGAAACCAGAAGGCCATTGCCAACTCCCTGAAATCCTGGAATGAGATGCTTACCTCCAGGTTGGCTACTCTTCCTGAGAAACCACCTGCTATCGACTGGGCTTACTACAAGGCCAATGTGGCAAAGGCTGGCTTGGTAGATGACTTGGAGAAGAAGTTTAATGCCCTGAAGGTTCCTGTGCCAGAGGATAAATACACTGTCCAGGTGGATGCTGAGGAAAAAGAAGATGTGAAAAGCTGTGCTGAGTTTTTGTCCCTCTCAAAGGCCAGGATTGAAGAATATGGAAAAGAGCTGGAGAAGATGAAGAACATAATTCCATTTGTTCAGATGACCATGGAGGACCTGAATGAAGTCTTCCCAGAAACCAAATTAGACAAGAAGAAGTATCCCTATTGGCCTCACAAGCCAATTGAAAATTTATAAACTTAAAAAAAAAAAAAAGAAAAAGAAAATTTATAAACTTGAGGAGAAAGCAAAAGCAGCCCCAGCCCTCATATAATAAACATTGGACATTAAAAATAATGATACGAAAAAAAAAAAGAATAGCAGACATAACTTTTTAAAAACTCTCATTGGGCAGCCCCCCTTGGCTCAGTGGTTTAGCACCACCTTCAGCCCAGGGCCTGATCCTGGAGACCCAGAATCAAGTCCCATGTCAGGCTTCCTGCATGGAGCCTGCTCCTCCCTCTGCCTGTGTCTTTCTCTCTCTCTCTGTGTGTCTCTAATAAATGGATAAAATCTTTAAAAATAATAATAAAAAGTAAAATAAAATAAAAACTTTCATTGGATGGCAGTTAGAAACCTTAACATTGGTTTTTGCATAAAACCCTTAACAGTTCCCCAGCCATGCACCGCCCTTGGGAGAGTTTCGGCTCTTTGGGCCCTTAGAGCCCCGTGGCCTGGCCGTGCTTACTTCCAGCTGCAACCCAGCCACACCGACCTCCTCTCAGTTCCCAGCACATAACAAGTGCTTTAACACTTCCCTAAACTCTTCACTTGCATTCCTGTTTGTGGAATGCCCTTTCCCCCCCCCATCCTTATTTGCCTGGCATTCTCTTCCTCATCCTTCAGAATTAAAATCTCTATCAAGAGTACCTCCTAAAGAAGAATTAGCCGTTTCCTTTCCAATACTCCTACTTATTACAGTGATAATCCCACTTTCGTTTGTGCCTCTGTCTCCCCACCAGGCTGGGAGCTCCGTAAAGTCAGGACGTGCACTATGTCTTACCTTGAAATCACAGCACAAAAATATACATAGTATTCGGCAGGCACTTAATAAATCTTCATTAATCAGTGCCCAATGATCAGCTCTGGGTCACATCCATTAAATGCTGGAGTCATTTCCCCTGATCTCCTGAGTAGAGACCAGAAGACCTCCTTTCCCACCTCATTGTGTCATATGCTAAAAAACCAAAAAAAAAAAAAAGAAAGAAAGAAAGAAAAAAGCTTGCACAGTGATATCAACATCCCTGGTAGTATTCAAATATTCTACAGCTTTTACAAAACTACTTTGCAGGGTATAAACAGTCCCATAAATCCATCTAATGGCAGTGTTCTCACCTAGGAGCCACAAAATTTCGGGAGCCTCGTTGCACCGCCCTCTGTGACCAGGTATTTTAACAAAAAGACCATAGTTGTTAGTACGACCTCGGTAAGGGTAAGACTTTTCATCTTATTTATCTCCATCTCTCCGTGGCAATAAGGAGGGGGCAAGTATTTTTCATGCGTTCAGTACTGACACTGTATCTTAATAAACCACATTCCGAGAACTTAAAATTCGAGGGCATAAAAAACCAGGTTTGCTGGAAACTAGGTTCGCATTTGGGAAAATGAGATCACTAAAGCACTCAGCAGCAGCAGCACCACCACCCCCCGCCCCCCGCCTTTTTTCAATGCCCTGGCCAGGTTGCTAATTAGGTAACTTCTTATCATAATTACCTAGTCAGCCTTAATGGCTTCACACACTCTGCTCCGTCTCTCACCGGTCCTGTAGGGCCGCTTTTCAATTGTTAAAACAGCTGCTGAGTTTTCCAACCGGAGGAGGCTCGCTGCGCGCCGAGGGGGCCGCGCTCCCCGATGAAGGCTGCGGCGGGTGAGAAGTGGGACACGAATGCACAGTCTGCACACCCTGCTTCCCGCCTCCAGCCTTCTGGATCCAGCTCGTCTCTCCGCTCCCGCCTCCCCCCCCCCCCCCGCCCTTATTGTGCGCCCGGGTCTCCCTGACCGTGCGAGGGCCCCGCGCACGCCTCTCCCCGGGTCTCGCCGGGCCCCCGTCGCCTACCCCGCGGCAGGCGGGGAGGTTAAGGACCGCGGCGTGCTCCTCGGATGCGGCCCGCGAGGGTCCCCGTGCGGGGAGCGCTGGGTCGTGGCGCGCGCGCGCGCGTGTGTGTGTGTTTGCGCGCGCGCGCGGTGGCGCGCAGCGGGAGGGAGGGAGAGAGGGAGGAACTGCGGGGGGAGGCAGCGGGCAGAGGAGGGAGGGGGCGGGCGGGGGAGCGGCTCTGGGCTTCGGCGGTGACACTCGGGAGCGAACACACACTCCCCGCTCGGAGCCGCGAGAGAGCGGAGCCACCCGAGCCGCGCACCCGCCTCCGCCGCGCGCCCGGCTCTCCTCGCGTCGCCCTGCAGCCCGGCGCCGGGGCCCCGAGCGGCCGCCCGCGGAGCCCGCGACAGCCCCGCTCGGCGCCGCAGCCTCGTCCCGCCGCCCGGGCCCCCGCGCGCTCCCCGCCGGCTACGAGGACGTCCCGCCACTTCCCCGCTCTGTCCCGGGACCCCCCAGCCCCGCGCTGCTCCGCGCCCCACTTCGCGGCAACTTCGGCGGCCGCGCGCCGCCAGCCTCGCCCGCCTTTGAAGTTTGCAGCGCCCACCGCAAAGTTGGGACACTTCGGCCGATTTCTTTTTCTTCTTCTTTTTCTTTTTTTCTCTTATCTGCCTCCCCCTCCGCCTCCCAGCCCCTCCGGGTCCTGAGTCCCGGCGCTCAGCATCTTGGCCGGGGACGTGGACTGTTTCGCACACCACACCTCGGGGAGGGATTTTTTTTTTCTTTTCCTCTCCCCCCCCCCCCAGGAAAATCACCCAGATTTTTGTAAGGTAAGTGGCGAGAGGAAAGCCGAAGCCCCGACGCCCCGGCTCCGCAGCCCGCCAGCCGCAGACCCGGCGCAGGGAGCGCTCACACCCCGGGGCTCGTCTGCGCGAGAGGGTGGAGGCGCGCGCGCCCCGACTCGGACGGGCCCGGCGAGGTTCCCGGTCGCCCTGGACGAGGGCGCCAGAGCCCCAGGAGCTGAGGGCTTGAGGGGCGTGGGGGGCAGGTCCCCCTCGGTTTTCCACGCGGGCTCCGTGGCTGGGCGGCCCGAACGCTGTGGGGAGGTGGAGGCACGGTGCACAGGCCGGGGACACGGGGCTCCCGGTGCCCGGGGCGTGGCGGAGCCGGCAGAGCCGCGGAGCCTCCATCCCGGGCTTGGCCGGGCCGCCCGCAGGGCTGCAGCCTCCCGCTTAGGTTCGTGCCCTCTGCCCTCCGCTCGCGAAGCCTGCGGGACCCGGGTCTTGCCGGCGCGTCGGCGCGGGACGGAAAGCGAGGGGTCTGCGCTGCGGTCGGGGCTCGCCCGCGGGCCGGGCAGGCGCGGGATCCCGGGGGGCGCGGGGGCACTGGGGATCTGGGTCCGCTCCGGCCGGTCGAACCCCTGCCGCGCTGGCTCCCCGTTAGCCCTCCGCCTGGTAGGCGAGCAGCGTCGGAGAAACTTCCTCGAGCTGAGCAGGGAGGCCTGGGACCGATGCTGCTTTGGCCTGGGGGGGTGGCGGGGGGGGACACCGGCGCAGGCAGCCAGCGAGGGGCCCTCCCCGCCCTCCCCGCCGCCCGCCCCGGCCCAGACCGCGGGACAGGCCGTCGTGCCCTCGCCCTGGGCGTGCACCGGTCGTGTCCGCTGGGGTCGGCGCTACCTTCAGTACGGAGCTGAGAGTTGGGGCGGCCCCGACACTCGGGGATCGTGCGCACGAGTGGCTGCGGGCCCCAGCGCTTCTCCCGGGACACTTGGCAAACTGCACAATGTCGGGTGCAGTTTGGTTTGGTTGTGCGCCCCTCCCGCCCCCTCCCGCGCGTGCCCCCTCCCGGGGCCGGGGAATCCGCCGCAGCCCCCAGCACCGGGTCCACGCGGGTCGCCGAGGCCCGCGCAGTTTGCGGCGGGCACCTCCGCGGGGGCGTTGCGCTGTCCTTCGGGCCGGGTCGTGGGTCCCCTCCCGGTCCCCTTCGGGGCGCTGTCCATCTCCTGCTCTGGGTGCAAGTAGCTCCCTGAAACCAAGACCTTGGGCGACAAATGAAGCTGAGAAAATATCTCTGGGTTTGATTTTTTTTTTTTTTTTTAAACATAGGTGCTCTTAGCAACTTAGTTGGGCTGGTTAATTTGTCTACTTTTCACCATTCGATCCTACTATGTGAGAAAAGAATTTATTTTTTCCCCTTGGTCGCTGGCCTCTCCGATGCACTGCCCTGCATCCCGCACCGCCCTCGCCCACCCCTTCTTTTGCCCGGGCTTCCTGAACTCTTTTTCTTTTCTGAAGGAGGGAATCTCCGCACCTCCTCCCATTTTCCTCCCATTTTCCTCCCATCTTCCTCCCACACGGTCCCTGAGCGCCTGTGAGAACCCGGGGAGTCGTCAATGGGAATAAATAGGACCCCCGCTCCATTCTCCGCCCCTTTCAAACCAGCAAAATCCTCCCGGGGCTCGCAGAAGTGGAGATAAAACATCCCTCCGGAGGGAGCGGTTTTGGGGATTTGATGGGATGGAATTGTTTTATTATCCTGAAAGATGTGATGGATGGATGCGAGAGCAGATATGCGTACGGGGCAGAGTGCGCCGAGGGCTCTCAGTATTTATCATTATTGATTATTGTTTATTAAGGATGATAATAAGGCCGTACCCTAGCTGAAGACCGTGTTTATATTTGGTTTTCATTTTGTGTCAGTCTCTGACTACAGTGGTTTCAGAAAGTGAATACACCAAAAGGGTATTAATTCCTCACACTCATTCTGCATATGGAATGAATTAAACGTCAAAAAGATACTGTCATTTTTACCAAAGTTCTAACCCATGAACTTTTCGGAGGTTGCAGTCTTATGAAATGCCCCCGTTTGCCTCAATCTGTCTCCTTAAAGTTCAAAAAACTCGGCAACATAATTAATTATGGTCCCAATTCCCATTTTCAATCTAAACCTATATGCAAGATTACATTAAAATATCCCATCATTTATCCTTTAAAAGTGACTCTGATGAGTTTAGGTTCTTCAGGAGGGGGAATCAGCTGGGAATGAGGGGTCCAGAAGTTGGAAAAATTAGTGACTATTTCAGATTTCACTAAAAAATCCTTTCATTCTTCCTTTAGAGAAAGAAATTACAAGTGTTTTCTCTGCATAATTCTTGACTTCAGCGAATGTCCTTAATCTTTACCACACACCAGAAACGCCACGGCTTGCAGCTTTGTCTGTATTGTTTTCATTTTTATGTCAGGACGTTTTATTCATTAAACCTGTATGTGGAAGTCACAGGCTCCACGTGGCAGCAACACTCTGTTTTGATTAGTAACTATCATAAAAAAGAAGCTAGAACTCTGTAATGGGCCTAAATTGCTAGGAATTATGTATGGTTTAAATTACGCATTTATTTCAACAGGAATGAAACCATGAATATAAAACATCTTTTAATCACTTGCAGACACAGCTTTTATCTCTTAAGATGTAACAAAATATATAATTGGAAAATATCCTTCTAAGAGTGAGGGAAGCCCTGACCCTCATTTTATTTGTCCTGCGTCTATTGAACATATGTCTGGTGACATATGAATGGTAAAAAGCAAAGGGTGATGTCATAACCTTGGCAATCCCATGCTGAAGGAATGCTGACGTAGCCATCGTAGCCCCCGTCGCGGGTCTGTCTTCAGATAACGTAGTGACTTCCTTGATTGGCTTCATGAACCTGGTGATCCAGATATTTGTTTTCTCACTTGGATCTATTGACCAGAGTCTCCTTCTGATAGGGGAAAAGTTGTGTGGTAGAGCCCTAATTACTTGGGGTGGAAGAGGGAAAGGTAGAAATAAAATGCACCTGCCCGTTGTTACCCTCCTATGTTCATTTCTATTGTACTTCTGCTCAGTCTATCAAGAGGCCAATTTTTTTTATTTTCAAACTGACTGTGTTCTTGTTGTCATTGTTAGGACAGAAATTATCTTTCATTTTGCAAGGATGAATGAGTAGACATTGGAAATATAACGACTATGCCTGAGTTTACAAATAGTGAAGAGTAGTGTGAATTCCTCCTAATGTGCACTAAAAAATTTTTAATCTTTCTTCCTTAGTTATTCCAGTGATAAAGTGGTTGAATGCAGTGACCGAGCGGTGCTCTCACACTTTTTTGCTCCCCGTCTCAGTGTCAGGACTTGCTTTGGGGAGCCCAGAGTAGCATCCAAGTAAGGACTGGACCTCGCCAGGGTCAGTTGCCATCAGCTTAGTCACCGGGAGGAAATCCTATCCCAAAGGCATCTATATTGGGCCAAAGGCAAGTGTGATCTACAAAACTCATTCAAATTATTCACTTGAGCTTGAAACAGTGTCTAGAACCCCCAAATGTCTATTTTGGAACTTCTATCCTGAACAGTGTGATTTATCCTTATCCAGTTCATTCACAATCATTCAGTAGAAGTGACAACTTTTAACAAGTTATAGCTGAGTAGTAAGTGGTAAATGATGCTAAATCTTTGCTTTCAAACTGATTTCAAAGTTAAAGTCCTCCGAAATTTAAATACTCCACTTAAAAATGCTTTGCAATTTGAACCCGGAACTTAACACTAAATTTTGCCTAATTTTAACATTGTATTATGGTGTAAATTGATACCTATGATATACACACTAATGCTGCCACATGTTGATTTTCACCTAGGAAGAAAAGTAAATAATCTTGCTACTATTGTTTTAAAAAAGGATCAGCATGACCTAGAAAAGCAAAACTGCTAATATTTTATTACATCATACAGTGGTATGCTGATCTTAAATTCAGTTATATTTCTGGGAAAAACTATGCCATTTTAGGATGAATCTGTGTTTGGACGTGTGTTTAGATCCCTTGCCACTTCTGAGATGACACCTGACATTTGCATTCTGTAGCCCACCAGTGCCCGAGCCAGTAACTAATGCAGGTGTATTCTTGGCTGCTTACTTCCTGAACACATTTCCGAAACCTGAAGATGCTATATTCACGCATTCCCCCTTTCTTTTGGTAGTTTACTGAAACCAGCAAACCAACTAATCTATGCATTTTAGTATTTTGCAATATTGGAAAATTATAAAATATATACTATTAACTGATCCAAGATTTTAAAAGATATTACTTGCTTCACACTTTACAAATTAAGAGTAAGGTATTTGATCAATATAGAATAAAATCAAACTGGCCATGTTTCTGCAGATTTTTCCCTTTGGGATAGACAGATTTGACCACAGAACAGCTGGGCATTGGGTCCTGTTACAATGTCAAAATTTTTAAGAACTCACTGAACTCAATGTGATTTAAACTTTAAAGTCCACAGACCTCAAGTTTTTAAATATAGAAACTTCCAAGATTACATGTCTTTATTCCATCAACAATTTCCAGATCCTTTGGAAACTGATTTATTATAGTAAGTTGGTGAGTAGTTTTTGGTTTTGATTTGTTAATTTTTCCTGTATCCAATTTGAAAATGACACATATTTAAAATTTTGTATATTTCTCTGGAGTATTTATTCTTAGTTTCACTTGTGAAAACTCTGAATGAATCTTTAAAAAAGAAAACTATGGAAGAATGTATACAGTTAACTTTTCCAATGTCCCTTAATTGTTCTTCTGAAAGAATTTGTTGCTATTCTTTTGAAAGAATTGCTTTTATATAGTTATGAGAAAAAGAAACATTTTTGGAAACAATGGGTTATATTAGGTTTGGAAGGAACTCAATAAAAACATAATTACACATAATTAGAAATGGACTCATTTGAGCAGACCTCTTAGACAACAGCCTCTACAGTGTGGGGGTTTTAAATATAATAGCCAAATAACAAAAATTGAGTTAGCAACATGCACTCATGTCTGTTTTCTAATTGGAATGATTACAGCCAATCTCACAAAGAGTGGTGACTGACTGTAGTACATGGTAACTGTACAAGTTTTTGTCTTCTCCCGGACATGAAAGTGAGACACACACTGTCTTCTTCCAGCTGTGTGCTCAGAGGACATATATTCCACAATCTAAAGACATAGCCAAAAAATATGAACGGTATTCAAGTGGGTGTTTTATCCGTAACTTAAAAATCACCATAACTACATCTTGTTCTCTGAGCATATAGAATGAGACTCAATTTTATCATTTTCTAAAAGAAACAGTAAAACCTGAACTCATAATTAGAAAGATTTGTGAAGGGTGATATCTTGTTTTTGAAATCACCATGACTTTTGTTTAAATTTTAGTCTAGAAACTATGAACAAATGTTTATTTGCAAAGATAGAGAATACTGTGTCTGGATAGATGACAAAATGAGGGGCAACATTGTGATACTTACTTGAAAATATTATATTTAAAAGGGAAAAGCTAGTGTAAAAGGGCTTGATTTATTTAGGGTTATTTTCTCTGACTAAAGGGCTACAAGTGGTAGGTGCCTTGTGGAGTATAGATGGTTATGATTTACAGCACATTATAGTGAAAAATAAATCTCGGCAATCCATAGGAACCTAGGAGATGCCTTTGATTACTCTCTTTCTGTTCAGGTCATGTGTACTCTAAGCTCATGGGCATTCCCAAATGTAACACTCTGCATTTTATTTCTGTAACAAAATATGTTTCTGATCAAATTACCAGTCATACCAAAAAAAAAAAAAACAAGCAACTCACATAAGCATAAATGTACTTGATCCCTTTTAGTTATCTTGTTTAAAATACATTTAAAGGCAGACAACAAATACATTTTACCTATAACAATACACAAGTACATATGTCTTGGTTGAAACCTAAATATTATTCATATGTTGATAGCACTCAATAAATGTCGTAATTCATATTAAATCACAGCATTCACTAAAATTCAGTGATATTATCAAAAGCTTCAAATTGGGATTGATTTAGAAGTAACTGGATCCTATAATTGAAGAGAGATTTGTTGCCAACAGTGGTGACAGAGATCAGAAACAGCAGTGGTAGCTAAAAACACCTGGCAAACTGAGAAAAGACAGCAATCATTTATCTCTTGGCCTCCCCAGGTCTCAGATATTTTAGTTCTAGGGGTGATCCTTTGAAGGTTGCTAAAATGCTATGAAAATATATTACTGTTTTTATGAAAAATGAAACTGCCTCTTAAATAGAAGATAACAATTTGACCTTCTGAAGATCACAGTAGCGGGCATAACCGTATTAGTAGATGGACAAGCAGGCAGGTCCCTTGAGAGATGGCCTGAGGTATTGGGGAAGCCACCCTGCCCCCAGTGTTACCAAGGTCTCTCATGGTACTAAAATGCTATCTGCAAAAAAGATGGTTTTTCATTTTTGAAGTAATTTTGTTTTTCAGTGTCCACTACAAATATGAAAATAGCCCTAGGTATTCTCTTCTTCTGATAATTGATTTTGTTTCTTGTATACTAGTTTAAGTTATACCAGGGGCCAGCTTCACGGACCACACTTGGAAGGGCTTCCTGTGCTTAGTTGAATGCTTGTCTGTCGCCATCTTAAAATTCTTAGTTTCTGAACAAGAGATCTTGCACTGGGCCCCACAATTTTTCATTTTATACTGGGTCCACAAAATATGTTATTCATCTTCTTCCTACATTGATGTGAATTTAAGATATGGAATCTCGATGTTGAGGAATCGGTAAGGACATTGAGGTTATCTTTGCAAGGTTAGGTCTAGTGAATATTTGTATTTAAAAACTTATCTTTTCAATAAAATGAAAGAAACAGAATACTCTTTTAAACCATTGAGGTCCTGAACAGGTATCTAGCTTTTGATAGCATTGGTCTTGTAAAGCAGAGGTCTGCTTTACAAGGAAAGTAAATACTTCCTTTATTATTTTTTTTAATTTTTTTTAATACTTCCTTTAAAAGAAGTATCCTCTTGGCCTCACAAGATGACCCCTTATGATGAAAGGAGAAAATATCAAAAGCCCTATTTACATTTACTCTTATGTGTAAATAAGGAAAAGAAGTTGGGTTAACACTGTGTTAATATATCTATTGACAAAGGCACCCTTACTCAGCATATTGGATGGTCATTAAAAAAATCAATAATGATAGAGGTGATAGCTTCTGTGAAGTAAATATAATAACAGGTGAAAATAATGACATTCTAATCAAGATTTAGAAGTCAGCCCTACCCACAAGTTAACCAGAGAAAAGATGTGCAGTGTAGGAGTTCATCCAATATAATCAACTATGATACTCACCGCAGTGTCGAATGCCTTAAGCAATATATATTGATTCCCAACTCAAAAAGATTTGGAGACAACACATTACAGAACCAGAGGTCTTAAACAGAAAGCTGAAAGAGCCCTCAAATAAATTAGTCACCATTATCTTCAAAAGTATTCTTAGTTTTATGTATAAGTATTTGATAATTCCTCTGTTACCCGTAAATAGATAATATATTCCATTATCTTCTGAAATTTTCAGTATTTTAAGAGTTTAAAAAAAGTTACCTAACCTGCCTAATGCTTTCACACAAATATATATTGTGTTACATTTTGAATTTTTTATTCGAGATTTTATTGTTTCTCCGTAAAGTTGCCAGTTATTAACTTATGTTAAAGTTGTTCCTGTACTTTGAACTTCACAAGGTGAATGAATATTATCCTACTTATTAACAATATTATTACTCTGCAAAACCCCCAGTTCTTTACAAGGTACTGCCTGCCACATCCATCATTTTCCTTAATCTTCATAGGAACCCAGTGAGGAAGATATTAATCCTCCTACTGCTGAGAAATCTGAGACTCCGTTTTAGTTAAGAGACTTACCTACACTCACTAACTTTTAAAATAAAGTGGAGACTCTGGTTTCAGAAGCAGAATTGATGGAAATATTTAAAACTCTTAAACTGATATTAGTTTCCAAATTATAAGGAAACAATTTGCTTGGATTTTCTTTCTTTCTTTCTTTCTTTCTTTCTTTCTTTCTTTCTTTCTTTCTTTCTTTCTTTCTTTCTTCTTTCTTTTACAGTTTAATGATTCAAAAATATCATTGAGTTTATCTAAATTCATAAGACCTTAATCATAGACAGTTTATGTGCTAAATGTTTGCTGGTTTTGGTAATGGTTAACTTACTAGGTAATTTTGTAGAGGAAGATGATTACATTTTCCACTTTTAAGTCAGTATGTATTAAGGTACAATACTGAAAATTTAAAAATCTTCAGAATCCTTTTTAAATTAGTGGTAATTCCTAACAATTTACCTCTATTGAGTCATTCTAGTAATCTAGTAATAATGTGGCATTTTTAAGAGATAAGATTTGAAGTTAGATCTGTTTTAAAATTTTTGAAATAAATG